ACAAATGTGATGTGTTGGATTGGGAGAAACAATCATAGCTTTTGTAGGGAAAAGTCACATCTCACTGAAATAATTTCACTGCTTTTTTTAAGGAGTCAGTAAGCAAGCAGACAATGGAAAGTTAATTGATGTAGTCTGTGAATTTGCATTTGACAAGATCTCACACCATAGCCTCTCTCAAAACAGTGCTTAGCTGACACTGAATATGAGGGAAGATCCTCATGATCCTTCTAAAGAATTTCATGGAAAATACCTAACAGCAGCCAGGAATAAACAGACCTGTTTCCACAGTCATAGAATCACAGGATCATAGAATAGTTAGGGTTGGAAAGGACCTTAAGATCATCAAGTTCCAAACCCCCTGCCATGGCCAGGGACACCTCGCTCTAAACCATATCACCCAAGGCCTCATCCAACCTGGCCTTGAACACTGCCAGGGATGGAGCATTCACAACGTCCCTGGGCAACCTATTCCAGTGCCTCACCACCCTAACGGGAAAGAATTTCCTCCTTATATCCAATCTAAACTACCCCTGTTTAAGTCTGAACCCATTACCCCTTGTCCTATCACTACAGTCCCTAATGAAGAGTCCATCCCCAGCATCCCTATAGGCCCCCTTCAGATACTGGAAGGCTGCTATGAGGTCTCCACGCAGCCTTCTCTTCTCCAGGCTGAACAGCCCCAACTTTCTCAGCCCCAACTTTCTCAGTCGAGAGAGGACTTTAGAGATTTCTGATGAGATTTCTGCTTGGGCTCGTATCATTTGATTCATATATGGAATCAAACGGTAAACAGTAAAGCAAGAAATGGCAACAACTGTTGAACAATTATTTGAGACGGTAAAAGATCTTGTAAAACTGAGCAGTTGTTCAGTAGAGGAAGTAACAGATGAAACACAATGTCAAGAGATTAAAAATAATACAGCTTCCATGATCAGTGTTGGGCTATTAATCCAATTCTAACATATACAAAAATGATATCATAGAATTGAAATAAATATTTCTATGACAGTATTAGTTCATTGCTTGATAGGTAGGCCAATAATACGAAATCCCAATTCATGAATTACAGGAGGAAGAGAAAACAAAACAGAAACCACCACTATACCACCATGTCCTAAATGCTTTGTGCACTTTTGTTTCCAGTGGTTTAAAAATGCTGTAACTTAAATGGAAACAGTACAGAAGAACAAAGCATTAAACTGATCCCTTAACAATGAAAAATGAAACAGAACAGGATTTTACAAGTTTGGAGTAGAGATAGCTGAGGGAAGCTAGAATCTAGGTCTACAAAATCACGACAGGTATGAAGAAGACACTTAGGGAATGACTATTTACTGTCTCTTCCTGTACAAGTACTGGAACTACAAGAAGCTATTTCAGTACAAGAAGATGAGGACAAGAAATGAAGCTACCATCAAGAAAAAGCATATCACCTTTTCCAGAGAACATATACTCAAGCACAGAACTCCTAAGTACAGGATGTTGTAGGTGATGAAAGTGCAGACTGCTCCACAATATAACTGAACAAAATAGATTGAGCTCCTCCAGAGGTACTCAGCATAAAGTGTTATTCTGGGCTCAGGAGGAGCTGGGTCATAGACAGCCAGATATTAGGAATACTTCTGCAAGCCTCTCTCCTATGTGCCACTGCTGGGAGAAAGACTGCTAGAGCAGACAGTCCTTCAGATTGATCCAGCATAGACACTATCATGCCAACTTCCTTCACCAACTATAGTTCACAATGATGTTCTGAGTGACAAGTCATCTCTAAAAGCACTTAAGTGACCAGGAGACAAAGAAAACAGTCTACTGCATCTGTAACATATTAACCTTGGGCCAGCAGGCCAAGCCAACATAAAGCACTGTTGTCAAACAATACATAACAAAAATTATCAGAGATATTTCTAGGGAAATAAACTACAACATAGGCTAAGCACAGCTTCTGCTAATATAAATATTGAACACTACATTTCATACCACTGTATGCATACCCTGGCACTCAGCCAGGTCCACTTACATCACATAATCTGACAAGGACTAAAGACAAAACATCAACATGAAGATCAAGGCTTGAATGCTCAAAAGAGTTAGTGCAAAACAACTTTTCATCTACTTTCTTCATTTTATCTTCTATTAATTGTATCTTAGTTCCTGATCTTACCTGTCTTAAACCAATGCAAATTACAGAGATATGACTATAAAGACTAAATATACCACATAATCTGGTGTGAAGAAGTTTACTCATATCTAAGAAAACTGTGTTTAAACTGTTCTTCAAAACCTCCCATGACGGAGGTCCTACCTTCTCTCTGGACATCCTAAATGGCTAAGACAGTAAACAGCTGAATTAAACTCTTCCCTAATTTTCATATTGCCTGCCTTACTGCATTTCATCTCTCTTTCAAAAAGCTAAATTGGACCTTAAAATGCATGTCTCGTAGCAGGAAATTGTGCTGGGTATGGATCCTTTATTGCTTTCATAATTCTATTGCAGGGTATTGGTTTTGCTTGTTCACTAAAACCTGCAAAGTTTTTTTCTGTCCTTTGAGCAGCGTTAAATGCTTTCAAGAAGGATAGCTACAAAACCCAAGAATACTTCGCATTATATTCACTGTGATCTAAACTACACTTGATTATTTTCACTTTCTGTTGCAGAAATCCAAGGCATGAATACTAAACTCACTGGGAAAGAGTCCAGGCCAGAATACTGCTATAATATTTCAAGTGAATCCCTAAAATATAGCATCTGCCATACTTTCTTCCTTAACAGGAGTAGTCAACATAAATGTGACTTAACTGAAGAATCCTGACAACATTATCATATTTCTGAATTGAAATGACTTGATTACACTCTCCTTGAAGCTATTATTTACATCTTAATAAAGAATTATCATTACAGTTCTTTAATGTTTCAAAAGCAATCAACAGTGAAAAACATAACCTGAGAGCAAAAAAAAATTCATCTAGTTATGTAGATTTGCTAAGTGTGTATAACATGAACAGCTCATAAAAGATAAAAAAGCACATGAAGCAAAACTGAAAGAAAATTCTTTATGCTCAGAATGAGGAAAAAAGGATCACACAATTTTAATAAAAATGCACTTAACTTTGGGTCCACTGTCAGAATTAAAAATAATGAAACCCACAGCCTGCACCTCCCTGCCGCCAACTTCTATCACGTGTCCAAAATTCTTAGTTTTGACTGCAAGTCTATAAGGACCTTGCATCAGGTTTTATTAATTCCTGAAGTGTTAATTATTTTTCATAACAAAGCAACAGAATCCCTAAGAATAGCTGGCTATTTCAAGCCTTCAGCAGATTTGAACATAGCAAATTCTGTTTGTTTCATTACCTGAACAACTGGAATATATAATGAACTTTACTAACTGTTAAAGAACTCTTAGATCTCTATCAAGCAAGAAAAATTCTGTACATATTATCTCAAAATACTGCTAGTTTTGCAGCAGTGAAAGTGAAGCAGACTAAACAATAATACTTCTATTCAGAAGATGCAACTGGACTCAGCAATCTAAACAAGAATATCTTCTAAAACTTTTACACCACTTATTTATACAACCCGTTTAAGATAAAGCCATTTTATGTTATCACAATTAACATAATTAATTTACCATAATTACATATCTTATTTGTGATTTCTCAGGACAAGGTCAACCTTCTGAAGAAGGTAAGAAAGACACTTTACAGACTGGGAGCACAAAAACACTACAACTGAGGTCAGCAGGGTACCTATTAGACGACTTCTGCTCAAATGTACTTTGTCCACACCTGACTTTCCCTGCCTTCTCACTGCAGGTTTGTACTGGCAGATCATCCTGGACCTATCAGCAGAGCTATACACATAGTTCATCACTTGCTGAAATCTGCTAAAGTGGAATAAACTAGATTATGGGTACTATGACCATCTGCAGTAACTGCAGACAGTAACTAAAAACAGGCAGGAGAGAGCAACAATGCAGAGGTACCCTTAATTGATTTCAGTTAGTTTTTTCATACAGTTCTTGACCTGCTGGCAAAAGAGTGAGAGAAAAAATTGGGATGGAGAGGGTGGGAAGATGACTGCTTTCTTCCCCTCTTGCTTCTGTTTCTTTGGTACTTTCAGTGAGAGGTCTGTGATACCAGTCTACTTGTTTTTACTCCCTTAACAACAGCTGTAAAAATGCTCACCATAAGAACAAATTATTCTGGTCAACAATATTAAAGTAATTAATTAAAATATGGTTCCCCTCTTTAAAAACCTCTTTTCATGTGAAATTTGTATGGTGTGAGGATAGAAGAGCCCAAACAGTTTGACAGAAAAGCCTTACAACACAGAAACATTACAAGAGGTCTCCAGCATAGCAGAGGGATTACATTCAGCAATATCCCTCTTCATGCCATTTCCCTTCTTTCTGAGGTAGATAGCTGTACATTATAAATCACAGTGGCCATTAATTAAAGGGACTCTATAACACTATGTAAAAACATTCTTAAAGGCATGAGAATGATAAAGCATTGCCTTGAACCTGCCTATTCTGAATTTTGTGACTACGAAGGAAGAAACGGTGAATATACACTTTAAACTTCAATCATCAAAGAAGCAAAGACTATTTTACTTTCCTAGCAATTAGCTTAATATTAAGTGCTGCTGCAGTCAATATATAGTATCATTAAACAGGAGTATTTAACAATAACATAAACAGCAAATCTAGTTTAAGTCCAAGACTCTTCATAAGCACATGAAAATGGCAGATTATCAGAAGCCCTCCTAACATTATTAAATAAAACACATTCTCAGAGTTACTATGAACCAACAAAAATTGTTTCCCAGAAGCTATTCTATTAACTTTAAACTACATAAACAAAATTTGACAACATTTCATCATCAGCAGCTACTCACAAATCAAATCTTCAGTCTTATCTGCATACAGCCAGCTGGTTTTAAAATTCTGCTGTAATTGAGGGGGAAAATAATTAAGCAATATTATTAGTCATCTTACCATTGTTCCCTGGTGGTTGTAATGCATCTCCTGTCAAGCTACACCATCCAACTGGGAAAATATCTCGAGAATCACATCTGCACCAATAGTCAAATGCTCCTCTCCAGCCATCAAATGTAACAAAAACTTCATCTCCTTTAACATCTCCTATGGTTGCTGGGCAAATCAAGTACGGGTTCTTTCTATCTATAGCTTCAAGTTTCATTCCAACTTTAAAGCAGTTTGGCACAGGTTTTGGTGGTTCCTACAAAAGAAAGAGTGATAGAATATTTGCATTTCTACGGCCTCTTAAAAAAATAATAATAAAAAAGAAAACCATCTATTTTTCCTCAACATCCTTACTTCTTACACTCACTACTCTCAGAAAGTTATAGCAGGCATTCAAGAAAACCTACTTATATTTCAAATGTATTTTTGTTCTTCTGTATTATAAAAATCTAGATTCAGTTCCCACAGACACAGCTGTGATAATTAGCAAAATTCTCCATGACAGAAAGACCCTGCTAGAAATATTTACATAAGCAATACGCTGCACCCAATACATTATGTCTGGGCTGCAAGACAGCAAAGATACTAAAATGAAATTATTACATGCTAATAAAGAGGAAGAGGTTTGCAGGGAATGAATATTTCTGGGGACTGATAACTGTCTGGTAAAAGCTTCACCTCTCAATCCATGAAAAATTCATTAGCATTGGACATTATTTATAGGCCTCAGTTAGCTCAGTTGGCCTCATACCAAGTCCAAGTGGACGAAAAAAACCCCAAAACCAAGTCAATGTGATGATGCTAAGTGTACCCCCACAGCAGGAGTTGTGACCCAATGGAACCTGAATTATGACCTCAGTCTCAGGAACCTCATTATCCAAAAGCCACCTCAGATGTGCTGGTAGGTTAGCACAGGGAAACATGGCTCCTCATGCCTCAGGAAATCTATACAATCTTTTATTAAAAAAAAAATAATAATTACATAATTATATAAAGGAAACAGGCAAAGGATGTGATTGCAGGTCTGAACCCAACTGTTGGATTTGCTGACATACTTGTCAATGTCTCTGTCAGTATCAAAAATGAAGTCACTCAATCTGACAGCAAGGTTTTACCACCTCGACAAAAGATTAAACCAACAAGTCATTTCAATATTACTGTTGGGTTTATGTAATTTTTTTAATTTATTCAAGGCATGTTTAAAAAAAATGAGTAACTGCTTCTGCTATTTTCAACTACTTTCTCACTACAGTTTAACTGATGAAAATGTTTAACAAAACTTTTCCAAGCACCACTGTATTCCAATGACTTATTTCCCATTGTTGTATTTTTTCTTCTCCTGTGCACAATCACATTAATATGGTGCTGTTAAGAAATGTGATATGTATTGTACTGACACAAAAAATGAGCTAACACAATTTTTCTAAATAATACACCATACTTCAAAAATCTCAATTCAGGAACAGACATGCCCATCTCAATTGACTAGAAGCAGATCACTTCCTGTAGCTTGCCAATCCAGTTCAAAGTAATTTTAAATAATCTTCCCTTGCCATGCTGCAGACAACAGGAAAATATCTTGACATCCTCATTTAAAAAATGTATTCATGGGCCAATTGATAAAAAGTTGTTTACTAGCAGTCCCTTTCTTCTTACCTTCTTAAAGAATGTTGCCGGTGCCATTTCAGCTCCATTGAGAGTTCTTAAGAGAAACATTGGCCAAGAAGATGCATTCATCTGGAACCCTGAGTAACAAAGAAAAAATAGGCCTACTTTCAGTTTGTAAAATGAAATAGAAGGATATAAAGTCTGTTTACTAATGCCTCATTGCCTCTGTTTTGGATTTGGCTGAAATAAAAGTAGCCAAGAAGGAAGAAAAAGGGTCACTGTAGGTGCAGAAACCCATGCAATGCATTTCCATTCCGACTGACTTGCCTGCAGAATCACTCATCATAAGTTTTGATACTACAAAGAAACATCTAGGACTTATTGACATGCAGGTTCTAGTACAGGAGATCATAAGGTTTTCACCCATGGTCCTGGGTGCAGTGGAACTTCCCCAGCACTTGTGCCTAGCTAACTTTTCAGGTCTGCTTTTTGCTTACGTTCTAAAACAATGGAATCACAGAACCATAGAATAGCTGGGGTTGGAAAAGACCTTAAGATCATCTGGTTCCTGCTCCAGCTCCTCTCATTTGAGATACCTTTTTATGTTCAAGACTCTTGCAATTCTTTCACCAGGCCACAGACAAAAAAAAAAACAATCGGTTTCTTCCCCCTCCCCCATTAAGATAAATAAATAGCTCTAAACCCCAAAGAAATCGTAAGAGGAAAGAACAAATATACAATTATTTTTACAAATGCATATATAATATTGGAAAACAAACTGGAAGAGGTTTTTACTTCAATATTCTTCAATAACAAGGAAGTAAAAAGCACAAAAAAGAATCACATTTGTTTAGATGAACTACCTTATTCAAGCAGAACAAAGGTTTGGCTGAAAACGTTCTCATGCCAGATAATTTTCCCTCAGAAGCAACTACTTTCCAGTTAAAAAATAAAACAAAACAAAAATCCTTTTGCTTTCTGTGCTTTCCAAATGGTTGTTTCAAATAAGTAAGATAACAGAGGTAGTGGACATTTTCTTCTATGTCTTTTGCAGTTATGTCTGGCACGGTTCTACAGAAAATAGACATAATAGAGCAAATTGGAAAATTTTCCACAAAGCAAACAGTAAAAGAATCTGCCAGGAACTGATGAGCTCCCTCGCAACTGAGCCTTGACAATTCTCTTAAAAGAATGAACTAGAAAGGTGGAACATATCTGCTATTCTCGATCAGTTAAATCATTAAGTCATCTAAAATTGGATTATATACTATAATGGTTCTTCAACTAGTAGCTTATGCTATCTTGAGTTGAAGAAACAGTTTTGAAGTTGGAACTACCTATGCAACACCTACATGAATACAAAGCTCCTATTTGATAAATGGTCTTGTAATTTGAGGACTGCTGAGCTGATTATCAGTCCTGGTTTGATACCGGAGTCTATACAAACTAAGCATTAGGTTCCTAACCAGCTATATATATTCCTAACCATATATATTCCTAACCAGCTAGCACAGAAAAGATATCTATATAGGAATATCAGCTAAACAATAGTTTCAGTTAATTTCATTTGGCCTTTAATTCATCCTGGTAAAACCAGATAAATGTTATCCTCAGTGTAATTTGTTGAGAACATTAAGCTCTCTACAATAAAAAAAAAAAAATCACCTATGAGAAACAGAGGCTGGAACAGGAATGCTTTGCTATATTAATCACTTTCTCAAAACCCTTATGTAACATGCATAATTAAACCTATGTAAAAATCAGGTAGGAGGGACTATTTTAGCTAGTTATTATGAGCAGAAGCAGAACATTAGTATCCAGAAGGTTCCCTAGCACTCAGGAAAAAAAAAAATTAATCAGTTGCTTAAATGTCTAACAGGAGGTAATTATACACCCAATTAGCTCCCAGCTTTGCCTGGGAACAGGATGCTGTAGAACTGCCAAAGAGGATTTTTCAAAAATTTATCTAGGTATGCCAGAACATTTGATTGCTGGAATTTAGCCTATCTCTAGAAATATCTAGGGCAGGAGGGACAAAATAACGGCACTCGCATTCTTTTCTGAATAACCAGCAATTGTTCGTAGAGCAGGTAAACTTACACGCCTAGGTACAGGGAACAGCAGGTTGGTTGGTGCGGCACTACCAGCAGCCTGACCAAATAGGAGGAACAAACAGTACTGCTTCTACTGATGATCATGGAAAGTTTCTCTTCTTAAGAGATCAATTGCCTCCATTATACATAACCAGATATTCTATGATTCTATTCTATGATTCTATGATTCATCAGACTGGTTTAGAAACACATTTGAGAAAGCACTATGCTCCTCAACAGAAGCCGTATATTTAGCATGGTACATATCTGCAGCTGAAGGAATAGGTATACTTTTCTCTATTACAATCCTGTTTCATGCTTATATCACTGCTTTCACTCTACAAGGTTATACCAAGAGCTTCAGAGAGGTTAAACTGAGTTACTTCTCAAAAGTGACACACCAAGGGGTCAAGAGCTTCTAGGGCTTTCATTCAAAACCTCTATACTCCAGAGAAAAGAGGGAAAAAAGCCCTTCCAGGTTCAAACTTTATCTATCTACCTACCTACCTACCCATAGAATCATAGAATAGTTAAGGCTGGAAAGGACCTTAAGATCATAAAGTTCCAAACCCCCTGCCAGGGGCAGGGACACCTCCCTCTAAACCATATCACCCAAGGTCTCGTCCAACCTGGCCTTGAACACTGCCAGGGATGGAGCATTCACAACCTCCCTGGGCAACCTATTCCAGTGCCTCACCATCCTAACAGAAAATAATTTCCTTCTTATATCCAAACTAAACTTCCCCTGTTTCAGTTTTAACCCATTACCACTTCTCCTATCACTACAGTCCCTAATGAACAGTCCATTCCCAGCATCCCTATAGGCCCCCTTCAGATACTGGAAGGCTGCTATGAGGTCTCCATGCAGCCTTCTCTTCTCCAGGCTGAACAGCTCCAACTTCCTCAGCCTATCTTCATATGGGAGTTGCTCCAGTCCCCTGATCGTCCTCGTGGCCCTCCTCTGCCCTTGTTCCAACAGTTCCATGTCCTTTTTATGTTGAGGACACCAGAACTGCACACAATATTTTTCTAAAAGGCACTCTGGTGGCATTGCTTTTCTTGTGTTTCTAAAGCAGCACAATAAAACAAAAACCTACCATTATAATTTATGTAAAGGTGTCATAATGGTTATGTCAACTGCTCCTATGTCTGTTTGCCTTTCTATATGCAAATCAAGTTTCATACTGTAGTGAAATGATACTTTTCACTTTGTGTTAACAAACTGAGATGACAAGCTTCTGAGAGGCTACTAAGAGAAAGCATACCTACCTTACTAAATCTCTGATGAGAAATCTGTAATACTTACTAATGACACCAAACCAGATGCAGGTTCATAACTATAAGATGGGAAAACAGCAGAAACATTTAATTTCTTATATTAAGAATGTTATTTCTTGCATCTTCTAAAAATTACAGAAGGTAACAGGTCAACAGGGGAGGAGATGTTGCTGTTGCGGAGGCTTTGGGGGTGTGTTAAGATAAATTTTGATCATTATTTTTCCTTCTTTTTAAAAGCTGAACTACTTTCAGACCAATGTGAAAAATGTGTTTCTTTAAAGATTTCCACACCTACAAGTTCAAGCTATAACAAATATGGCACAAGAAAGAAGATCTAAGTATACAGGTTAATCATAGCAAAGAAAGGTGATATCCCACTTTACCACCCTTAGCAGTTAGTCAAAGTTACCTCTGACTATTCACCACATAGCAAGGAATTCCTTTGTACAGTTCCCTATTTAATAAACTTCCTCAGTAAGACTAAGCCCAAGCACTATTTCTCCGTTTGGGGAGACACATAATGGTGTTACCCATAGTGCTTATGGAAGGCAAAACCAAATCTGTATACTATTTCTAAGCACATGAAAGCTACCTCTTCTTCCCAAGCATTTGCTGTGATCAAAAACCATCCATGCCAAACTGCACATGTCCCACAGCATGCATTGATTTGAGGAGAATCACATACACTATAAGCTTCCAGTCTGGTGAAGCACTGGAGTGCTCTTTTTCCTGCCGCACAACAGAATGCTGTAATACCGCCGTTAACCCACCCTATGCTGCCTTTCCCAGACCACAAACCAATTTGCTCAGCGCCCGTGAAAACATTCAGACTGCCTTGAGCTGCTGCACCTCCTGCAGCCCTGCTGGGCGCTTCACAGGTCGGTTAACAGCCAGCGCCTTCTAGTGGACTGCTCTGATTTACTGGGTAGAAGAAAGGCAAGCCAGCTTTCCCCGCTTTTTACAAAGGTCTGACTAAAAGAAGTACACACAGCATCGAACAAGAAAACATTGTAGCCATACACAGTAGAATGGGCACATGGCAGCGTGTTTCATCATTAAGTGTCAAACAGTTCCATTTATTACTAAGGGATTATTTAAAAAAACCCAAAACAACAGAACTCAAGTTAATTATTTATTCTGCTCATTCTTATGTCAAAAGGATCCAAAAAGAACAAAAAGCCACGATTCACCTTGCCTGAATTAGCTTGCTTACCTCTTTTTCAATTAAATAATAGTTTGGTGAAATGTTAGTACCACTGAATTTGCCAAGGCAAAAGGTCAAATTGACTTCACAAAACCAATACTCCCATGCTTTAGTCAAGAAGCTTCGTTTCTTACCAAGTGGAGGCTGGAGCATGCCCCCTTTCTTTTCACAGGTTCCGATGGGCTGTATGTCTGAGGAATCCACAAGCCTCCAAAAATCATTTTTGTTGTCACTTCCATCCAGACGCAACCTCAGCCTGGCACCAGTAATTCCAATTACTGTAGCTATACAAACTGAGGTAACATTGCGAGGATCACGGGCTTCCAGTTTCATCCCAACTTTGAAATCGTTCGTGGGTGGAATTCTAGACTACAATAAAAGGTAGAAGGCTTTTTCTTACTGTTGTTAGTATGGCCAAATTTACCAGCCAGTTCAACATGCAGCTTTCATGCACCCAAACATTTCATATAAATGGTAAATATAAAAAAGCCTTTGAACTTCGAGTGTTCAGCAGCAAGTCAGAAAACGCAGCTGGATAACCTACCAACAGCAACTGGTTTAGATACTTGATGTTCCTACTGCATAAACATGACTGATTTCTAAGAAGATAAGCACGCCAAGAAGGGTAAACAAGGGAATCCTGATGAAGATATGAACATAAAGGTCCAATGATTAATACTTGAAAGGAATGGAAAACAAGGGCATTGGGAAACATGACATTCAACTAAAAAAAAAAAAAAAAAACCAAAACCCCAAATAACCAAAACAAAGCAACCCACAAACCAACCTACAAACACCCCCACCCTCACAAAATTCACAAGCTTTCAATTGAAAAGCAATAGTTATTATAGTAATATCTGGGAAACTTTAACTAAATTTGGACCCTACGCACTAAGCATTACGAAAGTTCAAGGCAAGAAAGAGTTTCTGAATCAAAAAAATATGCCAATACAGACAATAGAAAAGGGAGCTAGTGTTAACTGCATTAACAGAAAGAAAACAGACAGTCCTAAAGTCACATAAAACTTTACAGTTCTAAGACAGAAATTGCACCTGATGCTTATTCATAGAGAACTGAATATATCCATACACATACAATGCAATGCCAATTTAATTATCACAGGGAAAAGAAACGTGATGAATGCAACTCGGTCTTTGAGCAGAACTTTTTGTCACAAGCTAAACAAAAGATAAGGAGAGTATATTTTACTCATGTGTGAACGCATTTCTGGCTGGATCACAGTCTGATACTGTAATACTGCAGGCAACAACATCATGTAATGGTGTTCAAAACTTCATATTGCCATTAACTGGGACCGAACACTTCTCACTACTCTCTTTAGATGACTCCTCATTTCCAGCTTAAATTTATGAATGGCAATTTTTGCCAGCACTGTAATTTAACTTAGATTATTCTTGCACCTTTGCAAATAACAGCCTACTGTGTATTTACAGAAGGCCCTTTTTCAGTACTCTTTCAACAAGTTAAATAAACCAAACACTGAAGTTTCTCTTATGAGAGGACGACTATTCTTCTATCATCCTGGAAGTCCTTTACTGCAAGTCTTCCAGTACAAATCTGGTCTTGAACACAGACTCTGACAACTATAGACAGCCTTCCCCATGATATTTATACCCAGTATCTATCCCATGGGAACACATGGGAACACAATCTGAATCCTAACATGGGAGGCAGGTAGGAAAAACAAAACCATGGGCATTCACACAAGATTCGTATGACCGCTCTCCTGCCTGACTGACCAGTCCAGGTGAGGATCCCACAGTAAGCAGAGAAACTGCACTTCTCTATCCAGGTACACAGGAAAAGGTCGAAGAAATCTGCTACTTCAAAAAGTGTTAGCGGTATTTTCCCTCCACCACACTTAATTCTTTTATTAATACAATTTATTAATGAATAGATCTTGCCCTGCTTGCTGTGGCGTGCAGGTGCACTATTTACAACACATCCTAGATAAACAGCAGGAGCCCTGGAGGATCCCAAGCCCAAAAACCAGAGGCACTCAATATTCAGTGAACACTGAGCGTAGCATCTGCTAATGATGCATTTAGACAACAGGCTGTCTGAAAGGGGAGCCTTAGCATATTAAATTTAAAGGGCAATTCAATTTCAGGATATTGCTTGTCCAGCTGTTATGTTCTACAACCACAAAAAAGCAAGTGAAATGGAGAAATTGAGGTGGTTGCTTGTTTGTAGAAAAGGTGAATTGCTTGAATACCAACAATTCAGGGCATTCTATTAAAAAGGTAACTCCTCCATGCCACTCTGTCCTTACAGCAAAATAACAAAACGTATTTGGTAACAGCCTCTTTCTAAGCTCTGTTTAAACCACACAGGACTGAGGTTTTTTTATTTAAAGTTTTCAACTGCTTGCAAAAAAGTTTCAGGGCATGAGAAAGATGTGGAACGCTTCAAAATTTTAAGTAGTAATTAAAAACAACTTAGAACAAAAGATAAAATACCTTCTAAATTAAGATAAATACTTTAATCAATTTCCATTAGCAGTCTGTGCCTGTATCTTAATTTATGATACAGGCTTTATTTTATTGCTCCCTGGGTCATTTTTAATTACTACAAAATTTAAACTTTTTAGAATTCCCACAGGTCACAAACTCTGGATATAATTCTCAAATTAAGCTTTTCTCTGCTACTTGTTTTCTGGTTAGCCACAGCAGTGTATTTCCTTGCATTACACAGGGTGATAAGGACGTGTACAATTCATGTGTAACCCAATAAAGTCAAATTAGTGCTACACAAAGCTCAAGCACTGTAGTTTCTAAAATCTGCGAACATTCTGCAGTGAGAAGAGCTAGCTCTGCACTAATTAACATTGCATATCATTTTCTTCTTAAAAGGTCAATTCTTAGAAAAAAAGGAAGTCTGTACATGTAAATTGTTTCAAAATTTGTTATGCACAGAAATTAAAGCTCGTCTTTCCAACCCACATGCTCCTTAAGCAATACAGGTCACCAGGATTTATCTATCTAGGTCAATGCACATCACTTAAGCATCTTTATTTAAGGTGTTACTTTGTTGTTCAGTTTGGACCTCCTGACCAGTAGTAGCGAAGAGGAAGATGTAAGAAAGGTAAGGCTTCTGAGCAGCTTTCTGCAGTAGCTACATTTCTCAGCAGACGGTGAGACGGTCACGGCCGTCCACATCTGAGTATGGCAATAACATCAGAATGATCCAGTAATATGCTACTGCCCTCTGCCTCTACCCAAGCCATGTTTGAAGTCTTTGCCTTGAGCTGGTATCCACTGTGAAAAACACATACTGTAGAATTAACCTCTGAAGCTTCACTCACAGCTATGGACACTGCTATTCTTAGCTATCTCTCACTGAAAGCAGCATGTAAGGGGCTCTTTGTCCTTTACTCTCATCTGCAAAAAGCAAGATGAGATTCAAGATCTAGTACAAGGAAATGCTACCACCTGTACTTCTCTCTCCCTGTTCTCCATACCTGCAACTACTTCATATTCACCAAATGATAGTTCCTCAATTACATTCTTGTTGCATTTTGTCTGATCCCCACTAGAGGCCAGTATCATTTACAGTACCATCAGCCTACCAACAAACCCTACAAGATACCTTTCTGAACATGCCCAGTTCGCTGAAACTAGACATGCTCCACCTGTCACACCTATTACAGTTCTATCAACCTAAACTATCCAATTCCTTCAGCATCTATCTTCCTAACGCAGTGAAAACATACAGACCAAAACTCATTCTATTTAACTTTACGCAGCTAAGATACTCCTCAACTTGGGAAAATACCAACTCCGGCTTCCTCTACTAAGAGAAAGATACCTGCAGAGGTCAACTCAGTCTCCAGAGGGCTGGAGTCATTAGTTCACACAAGATGGCAAATTTAAACTCCATCTGCAAATACATACTAAACCATCTGGCAGTGGGGAATCAAACTTCTAGGGCACAGTGCAAAACATAAAACAATACATTAAACACCTTTCATTATAAATCCAGTATTTCCTTTGTATTCCCATATATTCTCCTTGATTTTTTTTTCTGAACCTCAATATCTGTTATTCCTTAGCAAAAGCACTCTGCTCAGAACCTATTTGAGAGATACAGAAAAGAAGCAGTGAACAAACTCTACTACACACACAGACACACATCTTGTAGCTAGCCATTTTTTAAACGACTCTGAAAAACAGGGCAGGAAAAAGGCTCCTCTGACCATCACCTGTATTTTAATTCTCACCAAAACCATGACACCTCTAAGATTACTGAAAAAATAATTAGAAAATACTTTTGAACTCTGATAAGACTGTTTTCATTAACTAGTCAATTTTAAAAGGAAAACAGAGTCCAAAGCTACAATTTTAATGAAACCCTCAAAGCTTGGCTTGAGGCAGAAAGCAAGAACGAAAAACTTCAGTAGCTCGGATCTGCCAAAACTGTAAGCTACTCATAACTAGAGATCAAAAGGAATCAAATGGGAAGTTTACAAGCAATCTAAACATAGAAATTGCTCTAGAATCATCACCCTGTAACATGCATAAATACATACACACTTGCAAAATAGTATCTGGCATACCTGTCTGAAACAATGCAGAGGGGCAGCTACTGTTTCAGTCTCTTTCAGATAATCATCCCAATTAAACTGCTCTGGAAGACACAAGATAAAAAAACCATACAGACACTTTTTAAAGGGAACTTATATTAAAAAGAAGGGGTGAGGGAAGAAAGGGTCAGAAAAACTCAACTATCTTGCAGAATAATTTTTTTTCAAGAACAGGATTACTCTCAAACAGAAACTCCAGCTTTGAAAAAACAACTCTTGAAAGAGCTTTAAGAGTACTGTTAATGCATAGGGGGAAATCAACACAACAGGCCAAATCAATATAAACCTTCCCCTGCATACAAAGATACAAGTCAGGCTTTCTAGATTCAATTTTCTGCATACGGACCTCCCAAGCACCCTTGTACAAATCATGTTAGCGTTTCTGTATCTTAGTTCCTGTATCAGCAGCACTTACATGATAACCTCATAAGAGTGTCGAGATGATGCATGCTGAAAATCACAAACACATAGATTCTGTTGAAATATATGTTGAGAATACTAGCCCCAGTCCACTAGAAAGCAAAAGGATTAGCACAGCCTTCCAACTGCATCCTGTTTCTTTTCATCTGAAGTCTGATAAAGGTTTCTCTTTGCAGGGTAAACATTATTATGGCAATGTTCAGCAACAGCATCATCATATGCTTTCCAGTGCTGACACTGGCACTGTTTATATGCATGGGTGACTGTATTCTGCATTTGATTTAATCAGTGTTATCAGTTTTGCACAAATGCAACAGTATGAAGTACTAACATTAAAGACATAAGCAAGCATTACTTAAATTAATATAAAGCACAAGAGAAAACCTATAATGGCAAAAGCTAATGCTTTTGTTCAATTATCTAAGTGAGCAATTTTGCTTATTTTTCTTGTTTGGGAAGCCGGCATTTTCAGATATTCCTGAAATCACCCATGAACCCCAAAATGATGCACTGATGCCACCCAGTGGCTCAGCAACGGCCATTCACACAGCCTATAGCAAAAATCCTTGACAATGGAGAGACCACACTGGGTTTATACTAATCTTCCCCAAAACACCACCAGGCACAGTTAAACACATCTCTGCAACACTAAGGAGAGAGGAGAAGCAAATAAATAATCTGAATATGGCAGCATTTTCCAGCACTCTCACATGGCTTCTCTGAAGGATGCACAGTGGCTCAAATAGTCTGCCTGCATTAGCACACCATTTAGTTGAAAGTATACAGCGCCACAAGTAGAAGAGAACTACCCCCTTGGCCTGCCAAGACCCTTTTGGGCATAACAGACTCAAAAATGTACAAGTGATTTGTCCTCGGCACTGCAGAGGCCATGTGGTTGTTAGCTATGTAACAAGTCAGTAAAATCTCAAAAGCTGTTAATTTGGTGGTCTGGACTGTACATAGGCCAGTAAGAAGCCGTTTCCATGCAACATCTTAAAAGTCTGTTTATTTTGGAATGAAAATTTTCTTCACAAATTTATACCATTACATCATTTTTGTATTACTGACAAAAGGCAGGGTACATTAACTTAAGCATATGTTAGGTATTTGTATTTCAGGAAGGCATGCTCAGGAAATGGCACTTCAGAGCTTTCTCCAGAAAGTAGCCTCCAAATCCATTGCTCTTTTCACTGACAGGCCAAGGACACTGCAAAAATTAACTATGATGAACTGCTATAGAAGCTTCATCTTATTTTTTTTTTCTTTGAGTTTAATAATAAAGTTGCTGCTTATGTTTGACTTCTGATTTAAAAATAAATAAATAAAAAGTTATTTTAATCAGAGTTTACCTTAGTAAACTTTAAAGTACCAAATTCAGGAAAATTAAATGTACCAAAAAAGAAAATGTTAGCTATGTCCCAGCTATCTCTGATGTAAAACAATGCAAAACATGATGCAAAAGCTGTAATTATGAATCAGAGCCTCAACATGTTAAGGACCATATAAATGTAGATATTTTAGACACAGCACCTTTCACAAGGATTAACCTCCAAAATAATTATCTCTATATACCATCACTTTCCAAATGATCTCAATTTTTTTAACAGGAATGTAAATTTGGTGGGATGACCCAAAATTAAAGCAGGAAATAAACAGATGATTTTTTTTTTTCCCAAGGGAATATTCACTAGAAAGACATATAAAGTAACATAAGCACTCAGCTGCAGAAAAACCCAAGAGGAAAACAACGTTGCCTGTCTCTTTGCTTTAACTCCTGGCTATCAAAACCTCTTTCATCAAGCACAAATGATCTGAAATTTGAATTAGAACCTCTCCACCTGTGAAGATACGCTGTATTAAATTAAAACCAAGCTCTCAGAGATGGTGCTAATTATCATTTAATTACTGCACTCATAGAAACAGGAGATGAATGTATGCTTGCAACATGTAAGATGCATGTCTAGGAAGATAATCACATTGAAATAAAAAAAATCTCTGCACAAAAAGCTTCTCTGTATTTTCAGTGTCCACAGGTAAAGAAGTAGTTTTATATATATTTCTAATTCTAAAGCCCTTGAAAACATGCAACTTCTGAGAAATAGAAAACCTTAAGAAAATTAGCTCTCACTAAATGACTTAACATGCATTTCTCTTCCCACTCAAATCCGCAGGCTGAATTAAAAGGCTTAAGAAAAACCCATTATGCAACAAGCACAACTTTATAACCCACCAGCAAAGTGAAAACTAGGGAGAAAGGAATTTTCATGCTGAAGAACATGCCAGCATATACTGGAAGCAGGAAATATGTTACACCAGAATGAAAATAGGACCTTTTGTAAACAAAACAAACAAACCCCAGTTTTTATCAACACAGGACTGAGACTCTAGAACAGTGATCCAAGACAATCAGCATGGGCAAACAGCCTAATTTGAAAATGGAGGAAATAAGTTTATCCCATAGTTGTCAGCATTCCTGGCAGCAACCCATGGGTCAATGACCCATGATGCTCTCTGTGGTTCTGTACCAATACCCTATCACTTCTTGTCAAACCTGCCGATCACAAAGTAACTCAAGCTAAAAGGGACCCCAGGAGGTCTCTAGCTCAGTCTCCTGTTCCTCCAGGGTTCCATCACCCTCAATGCGTTTTTTGTTTATTTCCATCAAGTAGGAATTTTTCATGCTCCAACCACTGTTTATTACTTCCCATCCTTCCACTGTGCCTGTGAGGGAATCACAGAATGGTTTGGGTTGTAAGAGACCCTAAAGATAACCTAGTTCCAACCCCCCTGCCATGGGTTCCAACCTTCCACTAGACAAGGTGGCTTAAAGCCCCATCCAGCCTGGCCTTGAACACTTCCAGGGATTGCGCAGCCTCAACTTTTCTGGGCAAAGCCTGGTTCTGTCCCCCCTACACCCACCTGTCAGGTAACTGAAGACTGCAAGACCATCTTCCATATGCTTTCCCTTCTGGATGAAGAAACCATTTTCCTGGTTTCAGTATCAGTTTTCTGCTTACATCTTGCATTCCAATTCCTTCATTTATTTTGCTGAACTGCCAGCCAGCTTGTTCCAGTATAGAACAGTCTTCCTTGTACTGGGGAGCTCAGACTCAGCTGAAACACACCTATATAACACAGCACTGTAGATACAGTCTCACAAATACCAAAAAGCAGCAAATCCCTTCTCTCAGCCTGCTGCTTACAGTTTTGCTGTTAGGACTCGATTTGCAGTTAACATCTTTCACCACAAGAGTACACTGCTGACTCACACTCAGCCTGCCAGGATTCCAGTGCTTTCCCTGCAGAAATGCTTTCCAGCCAGCCAGCCTCCTGCCTGTGCTGCTGCAGGGCTTGAGTCTGCCCAGGGGCATGAGGAACACTCCATCTACCTTTGACTCTTACTGGGCTCCTGTCAGAACAATTCTCTAGGATGGGGATGTCCATCTGAAGAGCAGCCCTGCCTTCCAGCTTACCAGACAGTTCCCCAGTTAGATGCTGCCGCCAAACTAGCTGACAGCATGTTGTCCAATTGTCCCTGTCTCTCAGTAAGGCATAAACAGCATCAGCCATAGTACTGACCTCTGAGAAATGCCACTAGGTACCAGCAGATAGGTGGACCTTGTACTGTCTGGCAGTCAGTCAATTTTCCATCCACCTATCCAAACCACACCATACCAGTTTGGCTGAGAGGACACTACAGACACCCTACAGAAAGCCTTGTTAAAGTCAAGACAAACAACACCCACTGCTCTCTCCTTGTTTACATGATCACTGTAACAGAAGGCAGTCAGTTACACATGGCTCACACTTGGCAAATCCATACCAGCTGTTCCTAACCTCATTTTTGTCCTTAATTTGCTTGTAAATTACTTCCAGGAGGACTTTTCTCCATAGTTTTCCTGAAGGCTGAAGTCAGGTGGGCCAGCCTGTAATTCCCCAGGTGATCCCTTCTTGTCCTTGATGCTGAGCATGCTGTTCATCCTCCTCCAGTCATCATGAAACTCCCCCAGTCACTATCTCTCCAAAATGACAGAGAAGTCTCACAGTGACATTGGTCATCTGCCTCAGCACCCTTGGAGACATCCCATCTGCTCCCAGGAATAGGGGAATGCCTGGTTTGCTAAAGTGCTCCCTGTCATCTTCTACTGTACATAATGCTTCAGTTTAGTTTAAGCCAAAGTTTCATAAAATTTAAATTGAAAATTTAAACTACAAGTTAAATGTCACTTCTACATAGGTAAAATTTAAGATCCTGGTTTATTTAAGTTACAATACAGTATCACCATAGCCTAAGATTGGATATCCTTAGACTCGATATAAGGAGGAAATTCTTTCCTGTTAGGGTTTTAGATCCTTATATCCTTAGATTGGATATAAGGAGGAAATTCTTTCCTGTTAGGGTGGTGAGGCACTGGAATAGGTTGCCCAGGGAGGTTGTGAATGCTCCATCCCTGGCAGTGTTCAAAGGCAGGTTGGACGAGGCCTTGGGTGATATGGTTTAGGGCGAGGTGTCCATGCCCATGGCAGGGGGGTTGGAACTTGATGATCTTAAGGTCCTTTCCTACCCTAACTATTCTATGATTCTATGATTCTAAATACTGTTTAAGCAGACTAAGCACCTCGTGTCCTCTCATCTCATCCTTAGGTTCCCTTGGCACACATATATGAGACTTGACACAAAGGGAGGAGATTTAGATATTACAAAAAAAAAAATTCACTGTAAGGGTGGTGAGGCACTGGCACAGGCTGCCCAGAGAAGCTATGGGTGTCCCATCCCTGGAAGTGCTCAAGGCCAGGTTGGATGGGGCTTTGAGCAACTGGGTCTGATGGAAGGTGTCCCTGCCCATTGCAGAGAGGTTGGAACTTCCAACCCAAGGGACCACTTAAGGTCCCTTCCAACCCAAACCATTTTATGACTGTATGACCATTTCAGCCTTCATCCCACAGTCCCTCTTTGTCAAAAATGAGACCTTATTTTAATTTTCGTTTGCATACTCTTTCAAACATTAGTTTAAGTGTCAGGGTATTTCATACCCTGCTTTATACCTTGTACCTCCTATATGTTGTGATCATTCAATTAGACCCTTTCTCCTCCTCCTGTAGTCTACCTACTTTAGACTATTTTTTCACCTGTTTGTACATCTCTCTATTTTGAACCTTTTCAGCTTTTCTTATCACACATCACCCTGGTAACTCCAGGATTTCCTGGATGCTAGCCTGGAGCATTGTAAGGCATCTTTCTTCATCCAACTTCAAGAGGCTCTTTCCTCTTCCTTGCCACCAACAAGTAACAGCACAGGACTAAAAATAAATAAATAAATAAATAAATCAGAGATCTTCCATGATCTTGAGCAAGACACTCATCTCTAAGTGTTTGACACAGCTGAGTCTAGACTTCACAAGTAAATTCAGTGCTCAGACACTAGATTAACAGAGTAGTCCTGACTGGAAGAACACAGGTGACAGAATAAGGCTTGCCTGCTTAGCACTACTTCTCTACAAAGCTTTTTCAACACCTTGCAGAAGGAAGCAGCGACGTTTTCCAGTGACTCATGAAATACAGTTATCTTATCCGCATAAGAAAAGCACTTTGCTGGAGGGAGGGGGGGGAGGGTGATTTATGGGGCTCCGTCTGTTATGTCAGACAACATTATTTTAAAACACAGACATACTATCCAGTTTGACTGGAGCTCCTCTTACACTGCAGAATAGGGAAAACAAGACACAAATATGCTTCCTTTCCTGTCCCAAAGAAACAGGGAAGAATAACAAAGATGGCTACTAGGACTCCAAGAAATTGAAGAATTAAGTCTGGCAAATATAACAGCAGGAAGCTGTACTATGGCTGGTGGTAATAAGGTATTGTTTCTTACTGCCACATATTCAAGCAATGTACATGAAAATATGAAAGGTATATAAGGATGCTGCTGCCCTCTCAATGCAGCCACAAAAGACAAACTGCCAGCAATCCCGTGTATATGCTGCTCCATGGCACCTGTGGAGGACGGTAGAGGCCGTCTTAGTTTGATAAGAAGCTGGATCATTTCTGGCAAGTGTGTAGCTTTCTCAGTTTATTATAAAAACACAATTTATTTGAAAACAGAATTTGCTTTAAGTAAAATTAGAATCTCAGGCAATTTCATCCAGTTAGCAATCCTAAAAACTCAAGAGTATTAAACTGAAAATCCTTTCTTTGGCATGAGCAAACACATTAAGGAAAGAGAAAATAACTGCAGCAGAAAAGTCATGAAACTGCGAAATACATGATGAGAAGAAAAAATATCAGTAATCATCTACAAAAATTATCGTTTACACAATATCTTTGATTATATACACAAAGAGTACTTTGTCTTGGCTAGTAAAACTATTAGGCTCAAGTCAAGCAGTTTCAAACATAATTTTCGGCACCAAAACATACTTTTATAACAGAATTAGACATAAGCAATGGTATGTTTTTTAACTACCCACCAGTAATAGCTAAAGTGATTTTAAAAAAAGCCTCAGAATATAGTACAATCCAAATATACATTTTTCCTTTTACAGTACTTCAACTAATAGCCTGACAGCTGCAATACCTACCACTTTTTAAAGACGGGTTGTTTGCCTGCTGATTCTTTCCATCTTTCTCTTTTTTAATATTCTTTGAATCTAAAAGACAAGATTCCATTACATAATAAATGCAATATTCACATCATACCGACGTCCAGCATAACACAGAATGTTTTTAAACAATGCAGAATATCTTGTTCCAAATATCGATTTCCTTTACTCATTTCAGTGCATAATTAAAAAGGTATTTGTACTATAAATTTAATCACTGCACTACTATTTATGACTACTTTATATTACATTATCAGAATAAACCTAGTTGCAGAAAATGTAGTGTTAGCCTCACAAAGAGCAACCTTATCCTATTTTTTTAACAGCTTTACTCAAGCTACACACAATTTGAGATCCTCAGAGTCACTGGTTATCTTTTTAAATCTTACCTAGACCACCATGAACTGAAAACCAAGAAAAAACAAACTCACCCTAAAAGCATATTTCCAAGTTAAAGATTCCATTCTATATTTAAATTCTTGAATACTCACATGCAAGCAGTTATCTCAGTGAACACATCAGTTATTAAAAAAAAAATAAATCATTCATAAGAATCTACCTTCTCTATCACTCGTCTCTGACACATACAGAAAGGAGTCTGCAATATTTCATTTTGGGGGATTTAAGTACGTATGAGAGACCCAGGGGCCTGGGAAGGTACAAAGGAGAAGACTGAGGCAGCTCCACTCATTCCTTTCAGTCTTTAAAATACTGGTTTGATGACTTGCTTTGGACACTTAATAGACTCAAGCACAATTCAAACACGACACTGAGTTGGCAACCAAAGTGCAAGTACATTTTCAGATCTAAGAAGTTTATCAAGCTCTGTGTAGAAGAATAACTCGCTTGGTTTGTAAACACCTCAGCACTAGGAATGGGGCCACTCGTCTGGGAAAGCCCATGCCTTAGCTCACACCTTGGGCCATCCTAGTTAGCCCAAACTAACAGATGAAGAGATGACTCACTTGAGATTCTGCTGGTAGCAATTCTTGTATTCACTCACACTTACGTCTTTCACTGTTGACTGGTACATGAAATAAAACCACTCCTAACCTAGAATAAGTAGCATTTGGTGACCAGAAACACATAAGATCCAGGTTGTTCTGCAGCAAATATTAAGCCCTAATAGTGTTTCTCTTCTGTGTTTTCTGTAAGGCTCTTCTTGATACAAGGACTACTGAAAAGGAAGAAATTATGTTCAGAATTTCTGTCACAAATCTTTCATTATTTGTTGAGGAATTGCCATATACAGCAAGAGCTGAATCACAACAATCTTCAGTCATCAATCCCCAAATCCTCCCTCATCGGTCAGTGAGGCGGGGATAAGCCATCCACTTGGCTCTGTGCTGGGCACGATGTGGTGCTCCTTTGTCCAGTGCACAGTACTGGCAGGGACCCCTCAGGGGCAGCCAGGCAGAGCCACACCAGCCAGGGCCACCCCTTGCCCTGGGAAACAGCTACTGGGAAGCACTGGGGGCAGCCCCAGCACTGGGCACCCTCCCTGGGGACAGGCCAAGGATGGAATGGGACATGGGCCCACAGCCTGGCAGTGAAAGGCTGTGGGGAGCTGGAGACACAGGCTGACATGGGGCCCTGGGCAGGATGAGGAGAGGCCCCAAGTGAGGCGAGTCAGGGCCATTAAAACCTATTAGTGGACTGAGGGCCAAGACATCTCCCAAGAATATCCCACTCTCCACAGTCCTAGAAAATATATCTACAGCTACATACCTGCTGTTGCAAAACTATAACCTGTTTCTCCTAAAGCAGATACTGGGATTGCCACAGGTCTTTTGAAAAGGAAAGAAAATGCTACATTTACTCCTTGACTTAGTTTTCTTTCTTGACTTACACATTCTTTCTTCTGGAAGAATGGGGCTAGCATTACAGATAGTTCAGAAACAATGACTAGACACAAGGCTAACATTCCCTTCCAACCCTAATAATTTTGTGATCCACCTCCTCCCTTCTACAGACCAAAATACATTTCTTCCAGCCTCTTCAGGATGAACTGAATCCAGCTAGTTTTCTACTGGTGGTGGCAGTCTCTACCAGCAGAGCCTTTTGCCATGTTCTACAAGCTGAATTAGTCAGGTTTTCCCCCAAAACTATCATAAGACTATCGCAGACATCAGACTGACAGCTTACAGAATGGATAATTTCCAATTTGCTTATTTCCAAAAAGGAAATCCAACAGAGTCCCACATAAGAGACTTACTGAAGAAAAGAATTAATAACTGCTTCCTGTGAACACCCAAAGCTTGAAAGGATAGAGTCATGAAAGAGTATCGACCCAACAGTGCCAGATTTCAAACAACATGACAGCCTTTCATGATGAGAGACATCAAGAACAGGTGAAGGAATGAAAAACCACAGTCTGGACACCAGATGAGTTCTCACTGACAGCCACCACCCAAATTATTTATTTCATTTGCCAGTTAGGTTTAGTGCCTACCTCACAAATATCACAGCTAATACAAATGCTGAAATGGAACACTTGGCAACACATTTTCTTATCATCAGCCATTATAAAACTACAAGAATAAGAAGAGGTAATGACATTAAGTAATGAGAAGAAATGGATTCCTCATTAGCGCTTTAAACATCTGTTTCATTTGAGGTGGAGGTATCTTCATTCATAATAAACCCAAAGCATCATTAATACCACTTATTTTTGATGGCCAGAAATCAGAAATTTACATTATAAAACACCAAGGTAAAACTCACCCAGCACATGCAGAATCATCCAAAAGTAAGTCTGAATAAAACTAAGATCAAAAAGATCACTGAAAACAAAGCTAAGACTTGGAAGACTATTATATCAAATCACTGGGCTGAGGAAGATGACTCCCTCAGCATATGACCCTCAGCTTGGTCATCTCTGAGGTCAAAATTCAAAAATTAGGTTATGAAAGAGGGAAATGCATCTGCAGGTACAAAGGGTATTTTCATCTCCTTCACCTAGCCACGGTGAAACCTGAAAAGGAGTTGAAGATAGGCACTTTATTCATACACTGGAGACAGAACAAACATTAGTTCTAGAGTCTTGAAGCTCATGGTGACATTAAAAAAGGTCATTATATATTTTCCTCTATTCATAAAGTTTCTTTTCAAAGAGACAAGTTTCAATCTAGTTTCCAATGTAAAACACAGTATATGTGTTAGACCATTTTGTCAAAGCAGGAACAAAAATGAAATATTGCTGCTGTGGACTTCATCACATGCTACTCGGCTCAGATGAAAGAATAGTATCCCATTTTCAAAGAAAGTTAAAAAAAAAGGTATACATATAAGTATGCAGAATTTTTATATTCCCTATGTAAATATATATACATTTAGCCTATAATACTAATACAGGCTAAATACTTATTTTCAAAACCCCATGAAAGATTATATTCTAACACACCTAAAGGTAGTGATATTAGAATACAGCATATACTAAAATGACAAAAGTAGCATGCTCTATAGTTCACCAACTACCTGTTTTTCTGTGGTGCACTTCATAAACTAAAGCTGTAGATACAAAACATAGTGTGAGATCATTTAAAACAGTGTTTTCTGCTTCCCAATTCAAAACTTCATGTGTTTACATTACTCCCACCCTATCTGTAACCACAGAATTCTGCTGATAAGATTACTTAGCAGAAGACAGGCAGAACCACATCTATCATACAAGAAATTGAGAGACAAGGAGGGAAAAAAAAAAAAAAACCTATCTCAACTGAGTTTGAATGCAAAAAAAAAAATGCTCTTTTAGTATATAAGGTCTGGTAAAGATAATCCTGGTGACCAGTGTATAGTTCCTCTTATAAACTCCCATGTTGAACTCCAGCTTCTCATCTGAGATGCTTTAAAAATCCACAACACTTCTTTCTGAGAAGAATTAACCTTTCAACAAGCAAGATGACATATTCTGACAGAATTAGTTTTTACCAGAGGATGGTGTACTACATGAAGAAGCATATATGTGTTATCTTCTAAGACTTGCTATTTGCTTGCCGTCGAACGTGGGCAAAAAGCAGTTCACTGTCATGCTTTTGAGATTTCCGCAGCTATTTCATAGCCACCTTAAAATCTTCAACTCTGATGGATGTTCAAAGCATGGCAGGAGACCACTTTTATCAAAGAAACCCCTCGTCTCCTCCTGAAGGATGCTTTGGGGTGACTGAGACATTTGCTCTTTCCATGCCACACAGTTACCCACCATCAGATGAAATTTACTAAGACTTACGACTGCTCAGGAGGAGGCCTTCTTCACTCCCTACCACCCAGGGTTGTGAGCTAAATCTACCCTTTGTTAAGCCTCAGTGCACACAGTTGAAGATACATAGACCGAGTTAATATGAAATGTCTCCTTTTCCTTGTTTTTGTGCTTCCCTAGTGGGATTCTTATCTTATCTGCTCGGACCAGAGTGTCTCTTTTAGTGTATTTAGACAACAGCCACACAGAAAACCTACAGGAGAAGGGGACACAGACTTCCTCCATAAACTCTTGGTGCAACAATTAAACAGATGACTCCTGCCATTACAAAAAATCTATTACAACAAAAGCAATTATTTACCAAGGGAGCACACAAGCACATAAAGCAGCTTGGGCTGAAGATGGAAAGCTCAAGAAAAATACAAGTGTTAGCAGCCTTTTATGGGGGAGGACTACCCATCTGAAAGCTTTGAAAAGCAGCAGCAACCTGGTTTCAGACAGTGGGTCTTTTTTCAAATTCTCTTTGTTTCACTAATCAAAACACCCTTGTTTCTTCTAAAGCTTCACTCTTTATTTTAGCAGTTATTTCATGATTAACTTTGGCAGGCCTGACACTGCAGAAATCACACTTTCATAATACCCTGTGCATTCACGGATGAATTTCTTTAAAAAATGCACATTTTGTCTTCAAGAGACAGCTGCTAATGCCATTCATGGTGGTAATATGTTATTCCTTTTACTACTAAGTTATTGTCCTACTGAATTATATGCGGTTACCGAATGAAACACTATATTTTATTTAATATCACAGACAGATTCTTCAATTTTAGAGTAGTATAATGGCTTCAAAGATGTCACAGGAAAAAAATGCTTTGGTTAGACTTGTAGAACTCCAGGATAAGCCAAATTTAGCATATTTACTCTAAAACAATATGAAGTTTGAACTTACCTGTATTCAGTACATATCATAAACTGTTTTCTTTATTCTAAGAATATAGCAATTGTCAAGTAATATCCCACCCACCTTCAAAATGAAAATTCAGCAGGTTCCTTATTTTCCTTCCTCTTGGAAAAAAGCTACCAGGCCTTACCTTTAGCTGCTGTTCTCCCCATGGTAACACTTCTGTGATCTCCCCTCTCACAATAAAAAGGCTGAAGTTGAAAGACCAGTTAATTCTTCCTTTCAGCACAACAGTTTCCTGTGGAGTAGTAATACAACAAGTTAGGGGGGAGGTTGTTGTTGGGGCTTGGGTTGTGTTTTTTTTTTTGGAAAGGAGGATTTTTATTTTTTTTTGTGTCGGTGTATAATTATCTTGCTGGTACTAAGTTGCAAATGTTTAACAAAATATGTGTAGAACAGTGTGTAAACAATGGACGTAGCAAACTAGCAAGTGTACAGAACCCAAACTTTTACTTCATTGTTTTAAACCATTCATTGTATAATGATTTGCATTTCCTGTGGATTTCTAATACAAAGATATAAAACATGCTTTATCCTTTTTTTCACCAAGAAACATTACTTGAAAAATGAGTGAAAGACTTCTATACACAACCCACTCATCCTGCCTCACTTGTTAAACAATTATCAACCTAAACACCTTTAGGTAAAACACACAGTCTCACACAACTATGGTAAAAGTGGGAACAAAACACTGATGTAAGAGATCTAGAAGCCCAAGTGCTCACTGATACCCCTGCCCACTATGACTTGTAATAGAGCAGAAAGAACCTGGTAGGGAAACGGTAACTGCAGATGAAAGTGGTAAGCCACATCATTGTAATGTTTAGAAACTAGAAGGGCCAGATTAGTTAAACTATTGCAAAACAGCAAAACCAACCTTTAATTTTGTGTGTGTGTGCGTACATTATTGTGATTAGTCTGTAATGTACATTACATTACAAACTCCAGCACTTAGTTTTTTGAACTCTGTGTTCAAGTCCCATGGCTAAAGCTAGTTAAATATGGCTTTAAAAATGCCATTGACTGAAGAATTCATTTTGTGTGTGTATGAACATGGTAGACCATTATTAGAAAAACTCTCAAGATTGAGACTTGAAAGCAGTTATAAATAAAACTGAATCCTACCATAAAACAAGCAGGTTTTGCTACACAATAGCATTCATAGCATAAGTGATCACCAGGATTAAGACCAGAAATCCTTTTAAGCCACAAGATAGATTTGAAATACTTGATACTTTCATAGACTCCCCCCAAAAATTCAAAGCTTTTCCACTGCAAGTAATAAATCGTGAAAGGTGATGCAGAGTCAAAGTAACTGTTTTTACAGATTACTTTAAAAGAGTGCATGGTTTTTATCTTTTTGTTCCAAGTACCAGATTGCACTTGGTGCAGTAATAAAGATTCCAGCCCCGCAGTGATAGTCATCAAGTTTAGCACAACCGGAGCGTCTGTCAGAACATAAAAAGGATTCCAGCTTTTCATTAGCTTGTGTTGTACCAGATAGGCTGTTTTACAGCATGCTCACCAGCCTGTTAAAAATAAGACAACTGAAAGTTCTGAAAGTGCTGCCTGAAATGCGGCAAATTCAACTGCAGAAATAAACTACACCGCTGTTTCAGAGAGGTGCTACTTAAAACCCAGTTACACCTAAGTATTCAATTTAAAGCCGCTATTAAATTAGCTTGTAGATAGCACTGCTTGTCACAGAATACATTCAAGAACAGTATTTCTGAGCCTCTGTTTAACAACTGCTCATGCTGCTGAATTAGAGCAAAATGAAAACCAGTTACCTCCAACACAGAGCAGGGTCAGTCTGAAACAAAACATAACTTTTTGCAGGGGCAGACCTAGGAACAGCTTTCCATCGCCTCACATAATTAAGCAGCAAACCATAAGGAAGGCAGTTACGTCCTTTGCTAACCAAGACAGAGATCTCTTACGCTGCACTCACCATCACCAGCCTCGCTCAACCCACAGTACACCCACCACAGAAGAGAACTGCCAGCAAATACAAGAGAGAAACTTCCAGAGAGTTTGGGCAAAATTACGTAGCAAGGGCAGAGCTTGTGGCACTCTTGTATGTGCACCTCAGCAAGCAAGCTGAGTGATACAGAAAGCTGGGGTTAAGAAATAAATCTATCAGTTTGTAGAAACTTTCTAGAAATGAAAGGGGAAAAGCTCAACAAAACCAGGTCAGGAATATACCAGCAAATTAATGCAATGGCAAGGCTGAAGCATTATGGCATTAGGGTGTGCAAAGCAGCAGAATGAAAATCAAAGTTACAGGGATCAAGCTAAGTACAGTGATTGTCAGAAAATGGTCAAACACCAAAATACATGAACCTAGGATAACACGGTATTCATCATCAAAACATCTCCAATTTAAAGAGTAGTGGAGGATCTTCACACTCATGAAGTGTATTATTTACACAATTTACGTCTCAATTCATCCTGTAAACTGCAGTGGTTTTTTTATCTCTGATTAGCATCCCCTAAATCAGCTACATTTTAAAAAATCAAGATAGAAAGCATTCATCTGCCCTTAATCCCTCACTGAAGTTTTTATTGTTAATCCCCAAATCACTTCCACTAGACACCTCCCACTGTGCAAGCCCTTTGTCAGAAAGCCATATATTAGTAGACAAGCTGATGCTTTCACCCTCTCCTCATTGCTACTGCATAATGCCAGGTGTCAGACAACAGGATGGAAAACATTTTTCCTCTCTAACTTTGCTCTTCTGATTTTGAAAGAATTACTCAAAGGACATGTATTGCTGCATTTCAGAGAAGCTAGTGTTCCAGAGATGTCAAAAACATTCTCTGTTTTGCCTGCAAGATCTCTCCATTATCCTTCTCACTGTAAGACAGGCACTCAAGTAAACTGAATGTCCTAAAAAAAAAAAAATCATACCTATTTAGCACTTCCCAGTTTACCTTGATAGCATGCCTGCTCATAAAAAATACACAGCACAGAATTACAGAGATAAACACAACATTTTTAAAAAGCCTAAGCGACCAGCAGATTGTTGGTTTAGTCCCTATCAAAAACATCAAAGGTTTTTCCACCAGTGACTGTATCTCATTCTTGTAGGTAAGATAGAGACACTGATTTCAGAGACAGTTAGCTTTTTGACTCTACCAGTGGTATAAATGCAATAACTCAGACCTCATCACTGCCATCCTCTGGGGATGAAGGGACAGCTGTCAATGCGCAGCCCCCACTGGATAAGGACTGAGGCTATTCTTTTACACAGATACACAGCACAGAAGAGGAATTCAACAAAACATCCACTCTGAAACATAGATTAAGTTCTTCTTAATCTTAGCTTGAAATATAGGCAGACATTTTTCAGGCTCAGTCTGAACAAGAAGTTTTAGTTGCCCCTCTCTTCTGTCATTTTTTTTCTTTTACAAATCTTTCCAGATCAAATTTCCATACACAAGGAGGAGAAAGGGGAAACACATAGTTTGAACAGCAAAACCAGTCAGAGAGACAGAGAATAGGCACAACATAAGAAAAAAAAAATATTCCCCCCCAAACTCTTTTGTACGTACAAGTACTACATTTGCTTTCATCTCCAGCATTCAAATGCTGTCAGCTTTAGAAACACAAGAGGCATCATTTACAACCGCTGGCCAGTATCACCATGCTCCCATTGCTGTTACTGCTCCTCACCTCATTCTTGATGTTTGTTATGGCCAATACATCAGAGTATTATCTGAAGAAAAGGACCTGCACAGCCTCCTCCATGGACCAACACACAGACCAGCAGCTGCAGCTCCCTCCCCAGCTTCCACACAAGGGTAACATGTACCTAACAGGCACCAGTTGCTTCTCAAACACATGTGACTTGACTGCACTCCTAGAAAGTTATCCTTCATGAGTCTGGAATACCTTTTTTTAAACCTAATCATCTACTGACCAGTTATCTCTTGAATAAAAACCCTACTTCGTACTATTTTCACAATTCCCTAAGGAGGTTTAAAGAGGCAAATAAAGAGAGTAAGACTTAAAAGGAGTATTTTTATAACAGGCAATACTTTCAAACTTCCAGGACTTGAAAATTTACTTTCCAGCGAGTTATCCAATGTGTAGACTCACTGAATACACTTCAAAACACAACAGCATATACTTCCTTATTTCTGTACTAAAAAATAATTTGCACCTTTTAGAGCATACTGTGGCATCATCATAGAAAAGGAAGATCTCAAAGACTAAAAGAAAACTTACACAAATGTATCAGAAGCTTATAAAATGTAACACAAGCTTTATAGTTCTTTCAAGGAAAGCAAATTAAACTTCCAGGTTTTCATAAAGCAGACCTTGTAATGAGCTGATGTATCTGAACAGACCTAAGAGAGACAGGCTTTTGTCAAATTTACAGGCTTTCAAAAGAGTAACTATTAGCTAGCTATATGTATTATTACAACAACTAAGTTGAAGTATTTCTTAAGCTGTTAAAGGAAGAAAGTGGGTACTTGGTGCTTTACAAGTATCATTTTATAATGTCACTTGCTTTAGCAGCAAGAAGAGACTTTCTACACTTGCAAAATTCCTCAGAAAGTCATCAGTAGTGTACTGCTCACTATTTACAAAGTGATTAGCATAAACAAACTTCTAAGCTGTCAGCAGTAAAATACTACCTGTAACTGTTCGGCCCTCTCTCCAGGTAAGTTTATGATCTTTAGAATACCAGCAACTATAATTACAGTAAGTCATACATTTCAAGACTACAAAAGCCCCTCTAAACTCTGAAACCATACTAAGTGTATTATTCAGTACAGAGCAAGGCAGTGTATTTTAAAAAGCAACGCAAATAGGTTTTAGACCAAAGATGCATCCCAAAAATTCCTGAAACAAGAAATACTTACAAATGAGAGGCAAAGTAAAGCCTCCAAACTAAACAGCATAGCTTGTATCAACATACAACAGAAACAATTTATGTCATGTAGATTCAACAATTACAGATTTCACAGTAATTTTACAAATTAAAGTTTAAAGCTGCTCTATGGCTACCAGTGGAAAATAAAAATAGCTTTTCTCTTTCCCTCTCTCCCCATCCTGCTTTAAAAGTCAGAAGATGCAGGGTTGTAAAAACCTGAAAAAGGAAATGGTATGTGTGAAGTCAGCAGTTCAGCAAAGCGGCTGAATGGCCATTAACAGCTTTAAATATTCTTAAAATGCCAGTCTTCCAACATGAAAGGGTATTTTAATGTTATAATCAAATAAATAAAAGATACAGCTCACAAAGCTTATATTTCTATTTTAAGTTAAACCTCCCATTTTAAGTAGTTTACTATTACTTATTTACAGTAGCACAAGAGTTTGACAAATTGTTTAAACATTTTGGTGAACTGAGCTCACTGAAACCTCTGTGCCGTTTTCCACTTCCCCCTTCAAGCCTGGAGTTCCTGAAAACATTCATCATCATTATTCAACATAGCTTTGTTCAAATGCAAAACTCAAATTTTGTTCATAAAGCAAACTAATTTATGCACAAAAAAACACAATTTTGTATCATTAGTACTAGCTAAGAGCTACATACCTGCATGAAATTCTCTCTACACCCCAAAACATATCCTCTGCCTTCAGCTCAGCCTCCCCTGACAGAGAAGAGAGCTCTCAAATTATTTGTTCTGTGAGGCACCAAGCATACTTTTAGTACAGTGTAAATACAGCAGGTAAGGGAGAAAAAAAAATTGCTGTTGCAAACATAGTAAGAGATTCCTAGATGCCAGAGATCCCTATAGAGCTTTTCTGCGCTTGTCTTTGGAGAACAAGCAATTGCACTGGCTTTAAAAGCGGCAGTCAGAGAAAGTCTGTGTACATAAGTGGACAAGGGGGAGCAAGACAAGCAGAGGAGGGATGGTGGAAAAGGGATTTTACAACCTCTTAGGCAATTCTGCCTTCCTCCCCTCTACATTGCCTCCAAACTTGAAAAGGGCTGTGGAAGCTCTGTTCAGATATTACCTAGCAGATCTCTACCCACATACAATGTAGCCAGCAAACCCACCTCTGTGGTCCAGATTCCTTATTCATCCAAAATATCTAGAGAAACACAAACACCTTTAGTTTGGTGCAGAAATCTATGAACATCAAATACCATGCACAATTTCTTCTTCTCTTTTTTTTTTCACTGAAGGCATGGAGAACAGCCTTGGGACGTTTCTGCACAGGATCAGTCTGTTGCCAGCATCCCAGTGGAGCTTGTTTCAGAGCAACATCCTTGCCGCCCTTTGCTTGTTCTCAATGCCAGCAGCAACATACTTCTGCTACCACCCTCTTCCAGTGCTTAAAGTATCTGTTTCTCTCTACCCACTTGAGAATCTAAACAACATAATGCTAGCTGGGACTCCTGCCACTCTGCAGTAACAAAGACAGAACTCTCCTCACCACATCTGCTGCTGCAATGCTCAGTGGTGTACCCTGGCTTATGTAATGGGACAGCTACATTGGTCCCACATCCTGGTGTCTATTAAGGGCACAAAACCAAACTAACCAGAACTAAATAAACCCTGAAGCAATTTCCCAATAGCTCCCCTTTCCAAGGGTTGTTTCTAAAGGGAAAACCCCAAAGAGCTGCTTGCAGTCTCCAGGATGACCCACAGTCCCACCCTAGGCTCACCTGTGCTGCTGGTACCAATGGCTGTGCTGTTTCCCCAACTTCTTATTTCTCAAACTAAAAAAAGGAAATTCTTCTTTAATCCCCTCACACAAAGGAGGGAATTCATCCTGCATGCCGATGCCACCAAAAACATCTGTCCGTTTGGACAAACATTCCTAAGCAACATTCAGGGCTGCTGAACATTTCTGCAGCTAACAAAGGGCTGACAGGTCAGAAGACAACTCCTAAGTGCTCAAAGGACTTGACCACTGCCAATACTTGGCTGTAGTATTTATTTGTAGTATTTTCTATCTTCAAAAATGGAAGAAGATGAAAGACCCAAAGCATCAGTAACATCCACAGTAAATCCATCTCTCTCTTCACCACTTACCAGGAAAACATTTCTCATTATTAATTAAAAAAGAAGCAAGCTATAAGAAGGCAACCTCCTCCACCTCTTCCTCAGCATGGCCGCACATCTGTCACTGGTTGCATGCAGCTCCAGCCCAGGACAGAGGCAGAGCATCTCCCTTTCTTCTGAAGATCAGATTTCTGGAGATCTCCCCTCACTCCATCACTCAGCGCTCACACCACTGGGCACTGGAGAATATTCAGACAAGGACTTATGCAGGTCCTTCCTACAGCAATCTGGAAAAAGAAATTACACACAATATACGAAGTTTTTCCACTAATTATAACACTTTATTTTGCTATTAAACCCAGTACAAGTCTTCAGAACTTTCCAGAAAAGCACTATCTGCCTCTTTATAACACTCAAGTGCAGGGTACACATACAAGAGATATGGTATGAGAAGTGCCATCAAACATGCTGAAGCCCTTTTAATCTCTGGCCCCTGACAGATGATAGTGACAATAAGGAGTTCCACCAAATTTAGCAGCTCTGATACCCTTTCACATTCCTCCATGTATAAGACTCACTTTTACAAACTCTGCTTTTTAATGGGCTTTTTAAAGTGCCCCAAGAATGGCACTCCTTGCACCGAACCTTCCTGCGTTAATCTCTGATGGATTCCATACAGTACATAAATAACGGTTCATGCTTCATTTTAGGTATGCACCTCATTAAAATGGTGCTACCCTCTTGTAAGTTTTATAAACTTCAGATGCTCTCTGAGCTAATGTATGCTAGAGATGATGAAAGGCTCAACCTGGTCTTTGCCCTGCACTAAAAGGGATATCATATTACCTTGAGAAGACAACAGATTTCCATCAAAGAAGTTCATCCCTTTCATGAAAGGCTGAATTCCCTTGATATCTTACATAGAATTTGACCTGATTTGTGACTGCCTAGAGTCAAATTATTTAAGCAGGACATCTACCTTTAATGCAGTGTCTTGCTTAGTTTTAGATGACAACATACAAATGGGGAGCTGCGCAGAAAATATACCATTTAAGGGTAAAGAAATACCAGTCCAAAACACGGCTCATACTTGAGCTGCATATAGCATTATTCTAACAAATCAATAAAAGAAAAAGTACTTTAGGATTATTTTGGACATAAGCTATCTAGACAGCAGCTTCCCTGGGGAGCAGAAAGGTTACCCTCCTGCTGAAACAAATGGAAGAGCATTAACATTCTGTTAAAGGTTTCAGTATTTCAGAAAGGCTTTGATATTAGACTAAGTAATTCAGAAAGGCAGGAAGAAAACACACAGAAAACCCACAATAAGCACACACTCAGTATTGGACCAATTTGAGGCAACATGATCAATCACTACTCAAAAGCATGCACCTTTGTTGAAGTCCAGAACTACAAATGAGTCTTGAATCTACACTGCTAAAAGAGACATGTAACTTGCCACCACAAAGAAGTATACACTTCTTCAATTTCAATAGGTCTAATATAAGGAAACACTGGAAGTTTGGTACTATTCCAAGGGAACAGAAACTAAGTCATTACTTTTTGTGACAGGGATCTTGGGAGGAGAGTTGCTAAGAGCAGGAAACAGTATACCCCCTCTGGCACAAATGGTCCAGTTATATATAC